AATCAGTAACATACTTGAACACTAATATAAAATATTAAAAAATAATTAAGAATAATTAATTCAAAATTACCAATAATTTTACATATGTTAAATTTAATTTGTAGGATCACATGGAAGATTATCAAGTAACAGTTCCATTTCATAGTCTTCAAGCTCTCGGGTGCCAAGTTGAAGCAACTTGTCCTTACAAGAAGGCGGGTGAGACCTGCCTAAATGTTGTCCATGATTTTGAAGAAGGGTCACAAACTTATAGTGAAAAGCCTGGCCAACATTTTACTGTAACACTTGATTTCGATAGTTTAAACGAGTTGAAGTTCGATGCTCTTGTGATTCCCGGAGGCCGAGCAGCAGAAGTTTTGGCACTAGACGAAAGAATCATCGAATTCGTGAAAGACTTCATGGGTTGTAACAAGCCTGTTGCATCTATTGGCCATGGTCAACAAATTTTGGCTGCTGCTGGTGTTTTGAAGGTATAATTTAACTAAAAAAATTCTCTCCCTAACTTCACTGTATATGATGCGATAAATAGTTAAATTAGGAGAGTTAGAGGTGGCTAAATTAAAAGTTAATTAATGTGTAGGGAAGGAAATGTACGGCACATCCTGCAGTGAAACTGGATGTGGTTATGGCAGGGGGAACCTGGCTCGAACCAACTCCTGTGGACCGTAGCTTCGTTGATGGAAATCTGGTGACCGCAGCAACTTGGTCTGACCACCCTCAGTTCATCTCTCAGCTCATGGCCTTACTTGGCATCTCTGTTTCCTTCAATTAATTCTCTCTCTATCTCTAATTTTATATATGAGAATATAATATATATATATATATATATTCCGTAAAAACTATGTGGGTAAACTTTTTTCAAGTGACATCTGCAATTTTACTTGTCTATGAGAGAGCACCAATAAATAAAATGTAGCTTGTAGTAAGTTATTATTATTATGTTGTAATTTGGTATATCAATTTGAAAAATATTAAAGTATTTTTTTTAAAGATGTAATAATAATAAGTTCATAAATTTAGCACGATCTCGAAAGTCTTAACTGATTCATAATCGAGAACAAATTTGAAATTTTTTTTATGGAGTTAATTAAATTTTAAAAAATTATTAGAATCCTTAAAAATTGTTTTAGAACCTTAAAATTAATCTAAGATTGATTGCGAAACAAAACTAATACTTCTACTTTCAAAATTATTTAGTAATTACAAAAATTTAATACTATTTGAAAATTTTAAATTAGTTTGAACAAGATAATTTCTACTACGCGCATTTTATTTATTTATAATTTTTTATTATAATATATATTTATTAAGGTTATTATCCTCCTCCTACTATAACCATTGAATTTTATTTTTAAAAATCAAATATAAAAATGTAACCAAAAAATCATGCTATTTACAAAAGAACAAAAAGTCTCTTAAATTCTGAAAAATAAAAAAACGTGAACGGCAGGATTCGAACCTGCGCGGGCAGAGCCCACATGATTTCTAGTCATGCCCGATAACCACTCCGGCACGTCCACCGACACGTGTTGAGTTTTGTATTTAACAAAATATAGGATATTACCTTTTTTGGTTTTATCGCTAAGAATGTTTTATTGTTTTATAAAAAAAAAAAAACATTTCTGAAAATGAAAATGGTGTGTATTTTCTCTTATTTAGAAGTTCGTATGCGAAGGAAGGATCAATCCAGAAACTCACTCCACAACTTCTCTCTCCTTGGCGACTCCGCATGGCGAAAGCTGGAGCTCAAAAGACTGTCCTGCTATTATGCGGCGACTACATGGAAGACTATGAGGTCTCTTCGCTTATTTTCACTGTCTCTGTTTATGTTTGCTCTTTCTTACTCGAATGTTTATTGCTTTGTTTTCAGGCTATGGTCCCTTTCCAAGCGTTGTTAGCCTACGGAGTCTCTGTTCATGCCGTCTGTCCCGGAAAGAAGGCCGGAGAGTTTTGCCGAACCGCTATTCATGATGATTCCGGTCATCAGGTGACTGTTTCTAGTTCCCTATGTTTATCTGTAAATTTCTGAGTGTTTCATTAAGATTTGTTAGAACAAATGAGTATGAAAAGTTTAGCTGATTTACATAGACTGAACAAGTAATGTATTCATAAATGGAGTTTGACAGATATTGAGTATGATATTATTTTTTTTTTTTGCCTTAAGAATTTGATTTCCAGTTTTTTTTTTTTTTTTTTTTTTTTTAAGAATTCGAAATTAACTTAAAAATAATTTTTCTTCTTTTTCGAAATTCGATTTTTTCAAACACATTGTAAGAAAACAATCCATCCGGATTGAATTTTTAAAATTTATACATATGTTTGTTTGTTCTGTAGCTGAGGATGATCTTTTAAAATCCTGTTCATTTTCAATTATTGCAGACATATTCTGAGTCACGAGGTCACAATTTTACACTCAATGCAACATTTGATGAAATTGAATTCAGCAAATATGATGGGCTGGTGATTCCAGGAGGACGGGCTCCAGAATACCTTGCTATGGATTCATCCGTCCTGAACCTTGTCAGTAAACTTTCTAGTTCCGGAAAGCCTATTGCCTCTATATGCCATGGGCAGTTGATATTGGCAGCTGCCGACGTAGTTAAGGGCCGAAAATGCACAGCATATCCTCCGGTGAGACCTGTACTTATTGATGCAGGTGCTTCTTGGGTTGAACCTAAGACCATGGCTGACTGTGTTGTTGATGGTAATATTATAACTGGTGCTACATATGCGGGGCATCCTGAGTTTATCAGCCTGTTTGTGAAGGCACTTAATGGCACGATAACTGGAGCAGATAAAAAGATTCTATTTCTTTGTGGGGTAAGTCATCATTTTCATTAATAAATCACATTGGAACAGCTTAAGAAACATATTTTCTGCGACATCTTTGTAGAACTTATAGAAAATTTATTGATAGTTCAATTCAATATGCAGTTTGTGGCTTCAGAATGTAATATGAGGAAGAGCATATTTAACTAACAAAATATTTTTCTTGCATCCATCTTGAAATCTGTTTTTAATCGATATACTACAAACCAATAAAGAAAAAGAGATCAAGTCAAATTTGATGGAATAACTTTGGTCCAGCTTCTCTCATTGAATGTTTGCAGGATTACATGGAAGACTACGAAGTGACTGTTCCTTTTCAGTCCCTTCAAGCTCTAGGATGCCATGTTGATGCAGTTTGCCCCAAGAAGAAGGCTGGTGATACCTGCCCAACTGCTGTCCATGATTTTGAGGGTGATCAAACTTACAGTGAAAAACCTGGTCATAATTTCACCTTAACATCCAACTTTGATGATGTGGATACCTCCAAGTATGATGCTCTTGTCATCCCTGGAGGTCGAGCGCCGGAATATTTGGCATTGAATGGGAAAGTAGTGGGAATTGTCAAAGAATTCATGGAATCCAGGAAGCCAGTCGCGTCCATTTGCCACGGGCAACAGATTTTGGCTGCCGCTGATGTGTTGAAGGTAAAAAAATATTGACATTTGTATATTTGCATGCCATCAGTGTCTGCCTTAGTGATTGCATTGTTGAATAAATTCCTAGTCCGTGTTCTTATTATATTTATACCATATGTTTACATGTATATACATATTGATGTATGCCATCCATTTGCCATGGACAACAGATTTTTTTAGGTGCTGTTGTTGTTTTGAAAGTAAGGAGTGTTAACATTTCATATATTTGAGAAGTATCAGTTTGTGTCGAGTCTGTGTTATTGATTGCTGAATAAATTCCCAGGCTTTGTTGTTATTGTATCTATGTCATGTGTACATATACATGCATGCCTATCTTAAATTCCTAATCTTGTTCTTACTATATTTATATCATATGCATACATATAGATGCATGCCCATCTTAGATGTCTGCACATGTAGTCCATTCTGGTTATGGATTGTTTCCTTTATCAAGCATGGTCTTACAGGTTCACTTGTTGCATGATGCCTACTGCCTGAAGTACTCCCTAACATCATATACTTTAGAAATATTTCGTATAACAGTGTTCATAAGTTGGATGATTACATTTTCAGAGATCAACTATAACATATGTTTGAACTTTTTCGTATGCCTTCAATATAACCTTGATCAGTTGCTGGGAATTATATAACAGTGGTAGTTGCATGTTGAAATTGTCATCAAGCAACTAGTTGTTAGGCAACCTTGTGCCTTTATTTCAGATTAGTCTTTGAACCCCATTGAGCAGAAAGCAGATAAGCCATTTGATGTCTGAACTTATATTTTTATCTGCTAGAAGAATGGAGAATTATAAGAAATAACTACTCCTCTTAGGGGCCACTTGCTCTCCAATTTCACTCATGATTTACATTAGAAACTGCATCTTTCCTGATGGACAAGTCAAAGATCAATCCAAATTCTATAGGCAAGATCTTATTCTCTGGTCCTTGGTGATGAAAATCAATCATGTGGGCAGTGATTGGTCAGTAGGTCATGCAAGACCTCCCTTAGATAAGAGAGGTCCTAGCTGCTTTGCATTCTATGGTTTCACAAGTTGTATACAGAAGGCATATTTCCTGCTGAATCAGAAGAGGAGATAACTGATACTAGAATTAATTCATTCCAATTGCTTGCTTGGACCCTTCCATTGCTTTTGTCTCTGTCGTGACAGTTTACTCCTGAAGTGGGAAAACACAGAGGATGCATTTAATTCAATTCCTAATCAATTCCCAGCTTCAATTTTTATATTAGTGTGGAGAATCGGAACTTAAATGAAAATAAAGTTATAAATTAAATACGAAAGCGAATAAGAGAATTAAGATTTACATTTTTTACACAATAATTTAGAATACCCAATAAAGATATGAGAATGTTCATTTTAAAAGACAAATGGTAATTAAAGTAGAACGAATAAATAAATGTTCTAAAACTACTTTCACTAGTATTTGAAAAGAGTTCGGGTGGTGAACTATTCACAACCCTCTTGCTGATTGGGATATGAATCTTAATTTTCTTGATCTGAAATAATTAATAAAATGGTGAACTATACTAACTCCGTAAAAATATCACACTAATCACAGATATGGAAAACTGAAGATTGGTAAAAATAAGAAAAACAACTAATGGATCCCTTAATTTAACGTAAATTTATTTAATATAAAGAAAGTCATTTACTCCGTATTTACGTAACAAGTTTTTCCATAAGTAATTTATGTATAAAGAAAGTCATTTACTCTGTATTTACGTAACAAGTTTTTCTAGAAGTAATTTATGAAAACTCATATTTATACACTTTTTATTTTCACATATAAGATAACAAGAGACATTCAATTTTCATTTTTACCTGTTTACCGGTACAGATAGGGGTCTATAGGAATGTCTCCCTACTCGTGAACCTAATATCCAATTAAACAATTAACCAATTGTTTTCATACTCCGTCCGATAATGAGCGTCAAACATTCTGCTACATCGATACCCCGTCCGGTATGAGGGTGAACCATATCTTCCAAACCTTACTGATAAGGGACTTTCTATTCCCGTCCAACTGAGTTAACGTTCACGGTAGGGTTTCCTATGTATCAGACCTGTCCGCCTTTTCCCAAGTACCTAGCAAGTCTTTCCCATACAGATTTTTATCAATATAACAATTAACCACGCAATACCAATTACTTATTTTATATTCACAGATCACTTAAACAAACGATATAATTTAGCATAGCTAAATAACCAATAACTGGAATATTGATAAACAATGCAGGAGAAACTAAATAATTAAATAACCAAGAAGATCATAAAAACCATCAATTCAATTACGCACAGTATAATAGTAATCAAATATAGGCAGTACAGGAAAATAAATAGAGAATCAGGATAAATGTGAACTAACTGGTTCCGGCTCCACTAATGACCTGTAATTATTTTTAGGGTTCTCTAGTTTTTTACAAAAACACACAATTATCGATTATTAAGTCTCAATTTGTCGTAACAGAGAATAGAGTGAGGGATCCTTACCTGAATCGATGTTTTGGGACGTCATGCTGTCTACTACGCTTCCTAACGGGTACTGGGTTTCTTGATTTTTTTTTGTGAAATCCAAAACACTTCTCACGTACCTAAAAATACCCTAGAAATCCAAAATCGGTGTTCAAAACTCATTCCGGCCAATTTTGGGGTTCTAGCACGATGGTGGTTCGTCTCGGCCTAGCCGGTTTTGAGCGGTTTTGGCCGTATCCTTGCAGAAAAACACGTTAGGGGCCTCAGTTGACTGAAAAATCACAGAAAACCAAACCTACCAGCGGGGGACCTCCGGATGCAGCGGCTCCACCGGTTCTCCTTTGCGACTGAGGTTCTTTCTTTGGCTAACCTGCACAGAAAAGGACGGTGGACACAATGATCGAAAAATCACGTGAAACGAAAATCTGAAAGGGGTTCATCGGAGGGGTTTTGAGACTTTGCCGTGGCGGCTTCGCCCGCGGTTTCTAGCTCATGCATCATTCCTTTTGCTCTGATTTGGCCACGAGGGTGCTCGGAATCAAATTCCGAGCAGGTACGAGAAATTTTACTTTTTTTGGCGGTCGACGGTGATTCTGGTATGGTGGCAGTCGACAGTCGGCCTCCTTCTCCGGTGTCTGATTTTTTTTCTCCGACGGGAGCTGGCGACTTGGGTTTGGGTTCCCGTATGATGCGATGTATTTATATCAATCCTGTTTTGATTTGGGTCATCCATCACGATCGATCTTATCTGTCCGATCGCGCTTAAAGTGGGAACAAATCCAGACTGTCCACGCCTGCGGGATCAATCCTGAGGCGTCCGATCGCGGAACACGCGGATTGCCTGTGTGGCATCGACGTCAGCGTGCCTCGACACGCGGCGTGTTCTGATTTGTCGAAGTTGTTGATTGGACGGTTCTACATGATAAAATTTTTTCTATTTGCACTCTTACCTCTCTATTTTCAATTTTTCTATTAAAAAACACTTTACGAATCGAAATTTTCACTTATTTTTTTCAGAATTGTTTTCGATTTTCTCCTTAATATATTTTTTTATAT